GGATAGGAAAGGTAGCAGAATACAACAATTACTAATAGGGCATTATGTAAAATTGTGGATGTGTAACCGATGTGATTCTGCAATCTGCATTTGGGATAAAATTGGGAGTTCATAACCCACTTCAATCTAATGTATGAAATATGATATGTCAAGAGCTTTGTAATGTTGTGAACAACCAATAAAATATATATATGTGTGTGTGTGTGTGTGTGTGTTTTAAAATGAGATCATGTTATCTTGATTTCTAGGTCAAAACATTATTTAGGGTTACATGATATAGCATTGTATAACAGAGATACTGTAATTTAGTTCAACAATCTCCAAATCTTAGAGTTTTAGGACTTGCAACAATTTTTGTATATATATATTTTTCATATATATACATATTTATGTTTATTCATATATCTTTTTGTATATTATTTCCTGATGGAAGTTGTTTTGGGGGGAGGGGTACCAGGGATTGAACTCAGGGGCACTTGACCACTGAGCCACATCCCCAGCCCTTTTTTGTTTTTCATTTAGAGACAGGGTCTCATTGAGTTGCTTAGCACCTTCTGTTGCTGAGGCTGGCTTTTAACTGCTGTCTCAGCCTCCCCAGCCACTGGGATTACAGGCATGACCACTCACCCAACCCCCTGATGGTAGTTTTAAAGCGTGTGATCTATGCTGCCAAATTATAAGATGTTTCCTTAAACATACATTTGTTCTAAACCTTTGTTGTTCCAACTTGGTAGTAGAATTTTGTGGCACTTCTTTCCAAACAAAATATTGCATGGAAATCCATTATATAAAGATAAAAATATGGCTGTTGGGGCTGGGTTGTGGCTCAGTGGCAGAGCGCTTGCCTCCCACATTTGAGGCATACACATAAAAAAATGAATAAACGAAATAAAGATATTGCATCCATCTATAACTAAAAAATATTTTTTAAAAATATGGCTGTTCTGGTGGGAAAGGTTTGGAACCCTTGGCACCATCAGCAGCTCTCTACACCTCTCCCATTTCTCAACCCTCTCCCCAGACTCTCCCTGGTTAGTACAAATAGTTCTTTATGCTCTGTCTTTTAGACCACTAACAAACCTTTAGCATCTGTTATCAGCTAGGGTGCTTTCAGCTACAGTTGTATAGAAAATCCAATTTAGCTGGTTTAATAGTAAGGATAATTCAATGTCACACTTAATTGCTGGTCTAGCGGTAGGGAAATTCCTATATTGTTAAAATTCAGTAGCTTACTGTTACCATCAAGGACTAGATTTTTTTCCTTTTTTTGTGTGTGGTACTGGGAATTGGGTACTCAGGACCTCACACATGTTAAGCAAGCACTCGATCCCAGCCCTTTTTTATATTTTATTTTGAGATCGGGTCTTGCTGAGTTGCCAAGGCTGGCCTTCAACTTGTGATCCTTTGCCTCAGCCTCCTAAATCACTGGGATTACAGGAAGGTATCCAGTAGATTCTTTCCTTTTTGAGCTCTATCTTCCTCAGTGTGATAGCTGCTTAGACTTATTCCCTATATTCATTAGATGACTATAGTATCAGCAAACATTACATCCTTGCACAACTTCTAGCAGGAGTGAGGAGGGCATACCCTTTCCTTATATTCATTCCTTTTGGAGAGCCAGGAAGGCCCCCAGTTGACTTCCCTTCATTTCTCAGTAGCCACCATGGTGTCACATGTCCATTTCTCAGCCTATCACTGACAAGTGGAATGAAATCACCATAATTTATTTAGAACAATCAGGATTCACTCATTAGTGTGGGGAAGGGTTTAACCTGTTCTGAAATCCATGACAACTTCATATCTGAACAACATCCAGGTTCTGTTGTCAAGAGGGAAGAAATGGACAGTTGTTTGCCATAGTGTGCCATCAGAAAACACACTGAAAACTCAAAATCCCAAAGTATGGCCTTCGGTTCTGGGCCTTGGTTTCCTTATCTGTAAACTGGGAATAATAATAGCTCCCTTGCCTACCTTACAAGGTTTAGAGTATAAATGAGATTGGATATGTGAAAGAACCTTACAAAATACTTTACTAATATTGGGGCTTGTTACTAACTTAATTCTTAGAAATAATGAATGCTACCAGCCCGTCTGTAAAAGGTAGGACCTAAACAGTAGAATCTAAATTCAAATAAGTCTCATTTGTTTTATATATTACATTCACTCTCTAAACTTCATCAGACTGTGTATCAAAAAGACATTTTATATACCTTTAGAAATAACAATTATAATACCGTGAAAGGTTAAGATATGTATAAAAAGGCTATGACCTTTCCAAGAGTGCATCTGGATTCAGACAATATGGGGAGTACCAGATTACTGTTTATTCTGCTCTTAGTTTTCATTTTGTATGACCCTGTCTTTTCTTCCCTGCAGACAGGATTTTTACCAAATGTATTGAAAGTTTTGTCTTACCGGCCATTGGAATTCCGAGCCTTCTTTGCTTATTACAATGCCATCTACAACAAAACAACAGGTAAAGAAAGAAACAATGCTAAATCATTCTTGGTTGAGATATAGGTGCCTGTTTGCCAACACTGCTTCCCCCATGTGTTCCAGATTGCTGAGATTAGGGAGAAGCTCAGCTTCTGTGACAACTCTGGATTCTGAGTCTGTGAGGACTGAATCCAGCTTTATGGTTATAGATATAGAACTGAAGTAAACTGGCAACCATGGAGGTGATACTAGATTCAGATTAGGCTGCTGCTACTCAGAGACAAAGACTTTGGTTTAAATAATATTTTTTTCTCTCACTCTTTACTCTCACCTGATAGTCTATATAAGCTGCTAAGGGCTGGCAAGTGTTGTTTACAGTTTGGGACTTCCCTTACCTACAAGCTTAGCTGGATCACCACTGTACCAGCAGAAAGGAGCATCACTGGTGGGCACAAGTCCTTTCTCTTTAAGGTCCTGACGTAAGAGTTGCATATATCACTTCTGTTTATATCCCATTGGGTAGAACTTTGTCTCACTGTCACATCTAGCTATGAGGGAAGCTGATTGGTCATGTACCCAGCTAAATGAAGAGATTCTGTTACTAAAGGAAGAAGGCAGATACTGGAAGACAGCCAGCAGTTATGGGGTGGTTCTCTTTGGTCTGTCACCAGCCTGCTTCCTACCCTCAGTCCCTCTTTATGTTCTAAGTCAAAATGGGAGCTACATTTTGTCCCCTTCAGCATTTGGATCTCATTAGATCTTCTAACTTTGCTATGCCCCTGGGATGCTTTTTCTCCTATTTATGCCTTTGTGAATCTGACTTTTCCTTCAAAGTCCATCTCACCTTCCTTCATGTATAAGGAAGAATTCCTTGTCCGATTGCCTACAACCCCCTCCTTGCCCTTTTCTAATGGCATACAGAGTCCTGTCTGGCTTTTATTTTCATCATATCTTTCTGCAGCTTCTCTATCCTACTAGAAAAAGACCAATCCTGTGTTCAAATGTGAGTTCTGCCATAAATAATCCAAGCAACTTCAGCAAAGTATTTGAACACCTCAGACCCTTAGTTTCATTACTAGTAAAATGGCATTAATAATACCCACTTGAGGAGCTGAGGTAAGGAGTAAATGAGGTTACACATGTAAAGTTCCCAGAATTGTGCCTGGTACCAAAGTGGGTTCTCCCCTTTTCTGCCTATCCCTACCTCAAATAGTAGCTTCCATCAAGTTAGGAAGTCTGTTCTTTTTTCTTCTACTTTATTTACTTACTTACAGTATTAGGGATTAAACTCAGGTCCTTGCATATGTTCTGCCACTGAGCTACATCCCCAGCCCTTTTTATTTTGAGACAGGGCCTTGAACTTGCAATCCTGGCCTTGAACTTGCGATCCTGCCTCAGCCTTCTGAATAGCTGGGAATCACAGGCCTATGCCATCACACCCACTTCTTTCCTCCTCTTTTAAGTGTTAGCCTAGTACCTGATAGGCCTCACAAAATATTTCTTGAATTTAGGATTTCATTAACACATTTTCTGAGCAACTACTATCTGCCAGGTATTTCTTTGAGGATATGATTTTTATTTTAAAAAACAAATTTTAAAAAATGGATTTCCTTCCTTCCTCCCTTTCTTCCACCCTCTCTTTAGGGATTGAACCCACCACCCCTTTTTATTTTTATTTGGAGACAGGGTCTCATTAAGTTCCTGAAGCTGGCCTCAAACTTTCAGTTCTCCTGCTTCAGCCTCCCAAATCATCATGATTATGGGCATGCCTGGGAGAAAAAATGGGATTTCAAACATGCTCCTTTTTTAATATTTATTTTTTAGTTGTAGTTGGACACATATCTTTATTTTACTTATTTTTATGTGATGCTGGGGATCAAACCCAGGGTCATGCACAGGCTAAGTGAGCACTCTACCACTGAGCCACATCTCCAGCCCCTCAAACATATTGCTTTTTAAAAATATAGTTTTTAGTTGTAGGTGGACAAAATACCTTTATTTTATGTATTTATTTTTATGTTGTACTTGGGATCGAACCCCGTGCTTCATTCATGCTAGGTAAGTGCTCTACCACTGAGCTATAACCCCAGCCCCTTGAACATACTCTTAAGAAGAGAAAGTGAATAGTGAACAACTAAGATGGAAGGAGGAAGTGGGGGAGGGAAGGAGGAGGAGGAGGAGAAGAAGAAAAAGAAAAGAAAGAAGTCTTTTGATTTCAGAAAGTACTACATACTGTGAAGAAAGTAAAATAGCCTAGGCATGGTGGCCTGCCTGTAGTCAGGAGGCTAAAGCCAAGCATCAAAAGTTTGAGGCCATCCTAGGGCCATTTAGTAAGACCCTGTCTCAAAATAAAATTCAAAAAGGGCTGAGGATGTAGGTAATTGGTAAAGTGCTTGGTAACATGCACTAGATCCTGGTTTGGGTTCAATCTCCAGAACCACCATATAAATGAATAAAAACAAAATAGGTCAGTTGGTAGCTAGGGACAAGAGATGAATGAATGAATAAATGTATAAGTGAATGGCAGGCAAGTTGGTGGGTGGGCAGAGCCTTTTGCTAAAATATAGCTAAACCTGTTTAGGTTCTAAGCCATTGCCCAGGAATTCTGAACAGGTCTTCTTTCCTCTTCCTCCCCAGGACAGCTCAGCAGAGCAGATAAGGAACTCATCATTGTAGTGACCAGCCTGGTCAACAGGAGCCTATACCATGTGGTTGTCCATAGTGCTTGGTACAGGGTCTACTCAAAGAACCCAGTGCTCTCTGACCAGGTTAGTGCCCACCTCTCCTGTTCCAGTTTCAGGGCCTTACATACCTGAGGAAAGGACAAAGCCCATGTTATGATATGGTGCAGGGAACAAAATCTCTAATTGCTTGAATTCCCTTCCAGTTCCTGTTATGTGTCCACTTGCTTTTGCATGTATGTGATGTTTAGTATTAGGAAGAGCTATGCCCCAGATTAATATCAGTCATAGTGGTGGTTATTTGGCATAAATTCTATCAGATGCACATAACTACCTGTCCAAGGCAAGCCTTATAACCATTTTAGACTCAAGGTTCAGAGATTTAACTTAGTATGGAATATATAACTATAATGTGGCAAGAGTCTCTTTTCAAAACTTGCCATCTTTCTGCTAATTATACTGTTTGCACTTCCAGTATGAATTTTTGTCCATTCACTAATTATTCCTTCTGGGCCCAAACCAATGTTTTAGGCTTTTGAATTCTTACTGTTGATCCCACGCATTGGCCCGTTTGCTTCTCATTCTGGAACTGCCTCCACCTGCTCTTGCCCATCAGTTCTTCAGTCAACAACTTATCCTGTCCTTACCTTGTCCAAAGTCATGCCCTTTGGGTATCATTACTGTCTATTTCATTACAAAGTCCTACTGAACCCTATAGTGAAATCCCTGATCCTTAAGACTGGGGAACAGATATATCTGTTCTCTGCATTTATTCTCAGAGTTGAGGTTCATCATTTTCACTATTCCCCAGTCTTCTCTTCTGATCTGATCTATGGAGACTCTATTCCCTAAAGGTATCTCTTGCTAGCCTAAAAATGACTTCATGATCATCCCCCTTTGCCCTGCTGAGTGCATCCTGCCTCGACACCCAACTTTTGCTCATCCAGGATCTCTCTCCCAAGTGGTCATAGAATATGTTGTCACACAATGGTTTACTGAATATTATAGTTTAGATATGAGGTGTCCCCCAAAAGCGCATGTGTGAGTCAGTGCAAGAAAGTAGAGGTGGAATGATTGGTTTAAGAGAGCCTTAACCTAATCAGTACATTAATCCACTGATAGGGATTAACTGAGTGGTAATTCTAGGTAGATATGGTGTGGCTGAAGGAGTTGGGTTATTAAGGGCATGCCTTTGGGGTATGTATTTTGTCCCTGGTAAACAGAGTCAGTCTCTCTCTCTCTCTCTCCCTCCCTCCCTCCCTCCTTCCTTCCTGATTGTCATATCCTGAGCTGTTCTCTGCCATATCTACACTCAGCTTGGACCCATAACAATGGAGTTGGCCATCTGTGGGTTTAGACCTCTGAAACCATGTAAATTTTTTCTCCTCTAACAGCTTTTGCCAGGACTTTTGATCACAGTGGCAAAAAAGCTGACTAAAACACTGAACTATTTTATTTTAAGGTTTGTAGTGGTTTCTAGTATTTTGCTTTAGCAAGGGAATTGATTACCTAGTATAGTCTTTGGAATCCAGTGTGTTTGAAATCCAATCCCAGCTATACTGTGCTCTAGCCATATAACCTTGGGACAGTCACTTCACCTCTTTGAACTGCAGTTTGTCAATAAAAAGGGGATGATAATAAAAATACAACTGTCTGGGGTTTTATAAGAATTAAATGAGATAATGAACACAAAACACTGAGCACATTCTTAATTTATAGTAATTGCTAAATGTAAACTATTAACTTTGCAAATATTATATTTTGTTTGGTATTGATGTGGGGGGCAGGTCAAAGAGAGTCTTTGAGCTCTACTTTTCTCAGAAAACTTTGTTTTAGTCTGATTTTGCTCCTTTATTCTAACCTTGAGGGACTTTTTTTTTAACCATCAATGTCAATTTTATTAAGCCCTTGTTTGATTATTTATTTGCAGTAGACAAGATAATCTGCTTCTGACTATATTTTCTTGCAGGTCTGTGTGAATTGGAGAAAGTCTGACCTTCCTGCTCGGGAAAAAGCAATGCTGGAGTTTGCACTTGCTGTTTCCCGAGCTGATGATATAACAGATGACCATTTCAAAAAGCTTGAGATATATGGCTTCAGTAGAGAAGATGCCTGGGACATAGCTGCCATTTCATCTTTTTACGCCATGGCCAATCGCCTTGCTCATTTTATCAAACTCGTTCCCAACAAAGAATTCTACTTTATGGGCAGAACTAGTGATCATCGAGAGTGAACGTGCTGCTCCCAAAGTATAAAAGCCTGAAAAGGGAAAAAACAAAACAAAACAGTGTTTATCATTTCAGTCATGTTATATTAGGAGACATCAGTTGGAAAGTAATTTTTTTAAAAAAAAATCTGTCATTGGATAGAGAAGAGTAAATAAATGTGTTTCCTTGTGCCTCAGCCTCTCCCTTACTGAGGTCTTTGCTTCACTCCCCCAAGAAATTGCTAGCTCTTATTAACCCTTTTCTGATAGCAAGTTCTAAATATTATCCTCAGCGACAGTGATGGAGGCCTCACCTTCCATGACCTCCCTGGCAGATGCAGTACAAGGAGGACTGACCCTGGGCTCTGTTGCTTATGAGATTGATTTGATTCAGATCTCCAGTGCCTCTCAGTCCCTCCTGGCTGGATATGTGCCCCTTCCTGTAGGAAGGAGCGTCGATAAAGACTTGGTCTACTAGACAATAGATGGCAGTTGGGCAGAGATATTCAGGGCATCAACAGTCCACAATTTCAGGTACTGCGCAGACAGGGCTTTTTAGTGCAAAATTTACTAACCTGAGCCCTCATMCTTATAGGCTGAGCAGGTAATATGCCATTCAACTTACCATACGTGACCTGCACCTAATACGGTAATCCATCCCTCAGTGTATAGTGGGGACAATAGTAACATAATCCTGCCCAGCTTCATAATACTGGTCAGACGCACATCAACCGCTCACTGACATCTATAGACCCACTCCCAGCCTCAGTCAGTACCCACCCGGGTCCCTGGCATCTTCAGTCGCTCACAGGAACAGCTAGCCGTTCCGGACTGCTGTCCTTCGGGGTTGCAAAACCGCAACACTGCAGTGTCCCCGCTTTCCTTGTCCCCGGTGGAGGGCAACCAAGCGGTGGGGCAGGTTTCCCAGCCGGCAGCTTTAGGCCGTCGCACCCGGAAGTGTCGGCTAGAGTTGGAGCGCCGAGGTGTCGGCCGGCTGGACAGCGGCTGGGAGCTGGGGGCGGGGGTGTTGGTCATGTTTTCTTTCGGGCCCCGGAGCCCCAGCGGAGACGCGGCGGCSGGAGCTGAGGAGCCGGCGCCCCACGGGGAACAAACGACTGCCGCCAGGCCGCCCTCTCCCGCTGCCCCGCCCGTGCCTCCGCAGCCCGGGACTGACGCGGCCCCTCCCCCGCCGGCCGCCCGGAGCCCTCGCCGCCCTGGCGCTCCCCCGTTGCCCCCGGCCGCGCGGGCGGCAGACCTAGCGCCGCCGGGGACTGTGGAATCATCTGCCGCCTCCGCCCTGGGAGAGCCCTCACCTCCTTCCCCGTCACGCCGACGCCCCGGGCAGGACTGCAGGGCCGGGAGCCGGGGTCGGCACGGCCTCAGCGCGGGCCTGGGCGGCCCTGGCGCCAGACTGTTCGGGTGGCTAAGAGAACGCAGCCTGGGCCGCGGGCTGTTCGTGGACCCGGCGCGAGACAATTTTCGCACCATGACTAACCTCTATGGTTCCATCCACCCTGCGGACTCTGTGTATCTCAGCACCCGCACCCACGGAGCGGTCTTCAACCTCGAGTACTCGCCCGACGGGTAAGCGCGGTCCCCCGGAGGGTGGGTCCCCACCTCCGCCAGCTCTGCTCCGGATGCGCAGCCATCCAGAGCTCGCTCGTTCGGCCCGGGCCGGGCTTTGGAGACCTTTTTCGGCCTCTGGCTTTTCTGCCCCCTGGTACTTTCAGAAGCGCGTAGTCGTTATGGAACCCCCATCCTGGCCTTTTGAAGTAGGCAGGCCTGGGATGCTTCTCTTCAGGCTCGGGAGACTGAAGGAGAAATGCCCAGAACTAGGGCTTTCTGGTACCCCATAGGTGCTCAGAGCATTTATTAAATCCATCTTTAATAAATGCTCATTCTTTCGCTGTCATCCGAGGTTTGCTTTTCACTCATCTAAGCTTTTGTTAAGGGTAGAAAGCCTATAGAATCTCTGTACCCTGTGCCTAAACCAGCCAGAAAGAGACAAGTGTGCATTCGTTTGCTCAAGAAATACTAAGCCAGGGGCTGGGGTTGTGGCTCAGTGGTAGAGCGCTTGCCTAGCGCGTGTGAGGCAAGCTTATAAATAAATAAAATAAAGGTCCATTGACAACTAAAAAATATTTTAAAAAATAAAAAGAAATACTAAGCCATTGCAGAGAGGCAGCTCTCATGATTTAGGCCATTTGTGAAGTTCCCAGGCTAGACTACCTGCTTTTGCTAAGGGAAACCAGCCTTCTTCTTGATCAATTAGATATTTAATATCTGGTCTTGGTTTACTTTGAAGCTCTAGGAATTGTCAAAATAATATGATGTATATATTTAAAACTATGTCTTGTGAGTTCTCAAGTTTAACAGCAAAGAAAGGAAAAATTTGTACAAAGTTCCACCATGTATAATTGTGTGTAGTTAATATAATTCTTACCACTTCAAGACCTCTGGGTTGCTAATTATCTTAGTTGTTCATTTAGTCATTCCCTCCTTTAACAGATGCCACTTGAGCACTTGATATGTTCTAAATACAGGATTAACAGTGGTGAGCAAAATTAGTTAATGGTACTGCTTTTATTGAACTTGGAACTTCATCAGTTCAACTACATGTTAGATAACTATACTAATAATGCATAATGTATGCCTACAAATTGGATAAAGGCTCAAAGGAATTAGTTGTGGACTAGGGTGTTTGAGATTTCCCAGAGAAAGTTGACACTTGAACCAAGTTCAGAAAAATTAGTAGGAGTAAATATCTTGAGTCAARATGGGGTTGGAGAGAGGGTAGAAATATTTCAGATGAAAACTGATATGTTGAAGGTCCAGTGGTAGAAGAGAGGCAGTATATCATGTTAGAAAAGCTGAGAAACAATGAAGCAAAACTTTTCTGAAGAAAGACCTCCAGTATACTAAGGAAGACGCAAAAGAACAGAGTCAGGAATTACTCTGAGCTGGTAAGTCCTATTCCACTTCACTCATGTAAATGCCATGGTAATCACACCTGGTGCTAGGATCTCTGGGTTTTCTCATAGCAGTTGGGTGGAGCTTGTAGCAAAGAATGTGCCTGAGAAAGGGAGAAAACTGGTTAAAGGAGAAGCTTATTCATGGAAGCTTCTCTCCTTCCTAAAAGTCCTGTTCTTAACCTATTCCAATACTGAGGGTCTGTTCCTTGTCAACATTCAGTTTCTCTCTTCTCTATATCCTGGCCCCTCTCCTCTTAACTTCCTACCTATACTTTTAGGACTTTGAGAAGTAGCTGTTTCTGTTCTTTGTGAGAGAAATTTTAGGTGGAGGCAATGGTAGAATGAGTTATGAATATTGAATTTAAGTTGCCAGGGATATTAGAATGAAGGATATATTATTCATAGTTTTTATTTAAATCCAGACTGCATTTTCCCAGACACAGACATATATACACACATTTATTGTTAATTTATTTATTCATCTATTTTGTGGTGCTGGAAATCAAACCCAAGGCTTGGACACCCAAGGTAAGGGCTTTAYCACTGAGACATATTCACCATCCCTCCAAGAGAATTTTTAAAATCTGATTGGGGGGGCTGGGGTTGTGGCTCAGTGGTAGAGCACTTGCCTCGMACATGTGAGGCACTGGGTTCAATCCTCAGCACCACATAAAAATTAATAAATGTATAAAATTTTTAAAAATGTGTTAGGAACTCTGATATACTTAAAATAATTCAGTCATTTTTCATTGCCAATATGTTTCAGAAATCCTAGGTAATAAATGAGATAAACATCACTTATTCTAGAGACTGAATGGATTCCAAGGAAAATTTTTTTCTTTGTATATTTAGTTTAATATAAACATGTAAGCATACTATTCTGTAGCCTGCTTTTTTCCTAAAATTTATTGTGAACACATTAATATTTCTGCATTATTTCATTTTTTCATAAGTTTAAATAAAACTTTGTGAACAAATAATTTAAATTTATGTCCTTAAAGCTAAGTCCCTGGAATGAGTCAAAAGTTATAAGGAATTTTGAAACATTGTTAAATTRTTCTCTGAAGAAAGAACCAGTTCTCTTTCCTATCAAACACATATGCAAGTGCCTATCTCTGGATACCCTTGCCAGCACTGCTATTGCCATTCTTTTTTATCTTTGTCAAGGTGAAATAGTTCAGTGTTTCAATTTTTTTAGTATTTTTACTTTATCTACTAGTGTGCCCAACATTTGGGTAGGAGCTGAAGTAATTTTATAGACAATGATATATCTGTAGTAAGAAAGATGATTTCTCATATCTCAAGTATGATAGCCACTGCCATTTACAAGGACTTTATAATACAGGGAGGAGGAATGACATAGAATGTAAGAATCAAGTTTTATGAATCTAATGGAGACCAGACTAGAAGGGATTTAGTATTTAAAAAGAGAAGATATGTGGACTAGAAGGTAATTTCCAAAAGAATTTAAAAAATGGTTTAAGTGACAGCAAAATTGTCAAAATAAGTATATTACCTCCTAAGGTGACATTCTGAAAAAGTAAATTTCATGTTATGAAATTAGATAATAGTATGAAAACACATAAGAATTTAGTACATTGAAAAATAGAAATGAAGTATTTATCTACAACATAGACAGAAATTCAAAGATTAAAAATATGAAGAAAGTTTAGTAACATGGAGCATGGAGAGAAAAGCCCATACATTTACTTAGTTCCTAAAGAAAACGAGAGATTAATGGAGAGGGGCGGCTGTTTGAAGAGAGGCAGAATTAAAGAGATGCACCAGGCTATGATTTAAGAAGCACAACTAACCCAAGCAGAAATCCTCCGTAGAGCTAGGTGCCGTGGCTCAGGCCTATAATCCATCAGCTGGGAAAGCTGAGGCAAGAGGATCACAGGTTCAAAGCCAGCCTCAGCAACTTAGTGAGGCCCTAAGCAACTTGGTGAGACCCTGTCTCTAAATAAAATACAAAATGGGGATATGGCTCAGTTGTTAAGTGCCCCTGGGTTCAATCCCTGGTACCAAAAGAGAAAACAAAAGAAATCCTCCCTA